CGGGCATATTACGAGCGAATCAGGATGGAAGCCGAAGAGGAGATGTAGCGCAATATGCAAATGGCTGTCTTAGTGCATGGTGTACCATATTTAACGACTGCGGCACGAGATGTCCTTCGTCTCTCTCTTGTCGTTCCCCACATTACCATCTTATGCTCACCAATGTGAGACAAACAGAGAACATGGATTGGTAATCAGACGGGAGGGCCGCGCTTGTATGGTCCAGTAGGGATATCAGAATATGGGGGATGACGATAAACACGTTGGTTAAGAAAACAAGAGCAGGATGACCTGCGAGATTACTTCGCTGTTTGCGTGCAGTTTGGTGGGTCAGCCCCAGTGTTCATTGTAGTTCAAGTGCACAACATTAATCCTGAGACAGCGTCAACTTCAACAGGATTACGGCTTTCTGGTATCTTTGCCGCACTGTGATGGAGGAAATGAAGGCAACTTTGGATTCTGTGGGCCCAACCTACAGTGCTCAAACTGTGTACTAATGTGATAACTGCCTAAGTAGAGAAGCTCTAGAGAAATTCATTTCTGGAAGGAAGGTTGCTCTCTGGTTAGGAGCGAGTGACTGCCATTTTATAGTCTGCGGGTATAGATCAGGTATTCTTTGCAAACTTGAGAACGATATCTCTAGTCTCCTCAGTTGTAGAGTCTGTGGAAAAGGTAATAAGAGAAGCAGTTAGTATCTGTTTACTTAGGAACTTAGCCTTGATAAACTGCTAGCACGGATTTTCATAAAAAGGGTTACGTAGCCCGAACTCGTTGACGGTACAGAATACATGGAATCTCTCTTTTTGAGGAGAAGACGTCCATCTGCATAGGATCACTCCACATTTTCAGTCTTTATGAGGGTTAATCACAGTACCTGGGTCAAGAAACTTTGGCCTATAGGGGTAAGTAGAAGGTCAGCCGGTTTATGGACTACCTAAACTTCCGCTTGTAATCAGCTAAAGTTAGCTCCATCTAGCTCAGTTGATTTCTGATGTAGAGAAGGGTGTCAGGGGTTTCATTCGAACCCAACTACTGATACTCGTTTTGACAAATGACCTACCAGCAGTCCTGAATTCTCAGTATATGCTGATGAGTTGGAGCCTTAAGCGGAGAAACAGGAGCCAACGGGTTTTCGGGTCCTCTAGGAGGACCATTATAAATTCGTAAACTAGAGAGGCGGAACTATGATTCATCTCAACGCAGAAGAGTGTAAGATAATGATTGTAGACAAACGTGGGTGTAATTCTAGCTCTTACTTGCTGAAATAAGTATCCCAGATCTAAACAGTGAAAAATATCTAAAGGTTGCCCGAAGTGATACGCTTGGAACTCCTGTCCATCGTCACCATAAATTAGCCCTCGTTTGGTCAAAAACTCACCATTTATGCTGTCACACTTGAAGAAGAACATTTTCATGACAGAATGGATTTGGAGAAGAGTTGTGAAAGAGGAGATCAGGCTGCGGTACAAACCTAATCCAACCCCGTGAGTTGATCTCAAGCTGCATCTGCTACAGTGTGGGAAGATCAAAGCGGGAGTGGTAACGGTGTCTTGGATGGGTCATAATCCTCCTCACCCTTGCCTATCACTCTTGTGCCTTAATCAGCAACGCTACCTTAGAGGTTATCCATTAGGAAGAAGGTATAAGTGAGGGCATGCGTAGCCCAGTGCCAACCCGTTTTCAGTTAGACTGCGCAAAACGCGGGTTTCCCCCTGAAGCTGTAACAATACGGACGCAGACTGATTTCAAAACGGAGTTGAGTGCTTTATACAGACGGTCTCCCCTCTCTTGAGTACACTTATCGTCTTACAGACCATGGGTAGTAGCAACAATTCTGACAAGTTGATGGATTAATTACCGATTGTCCGTGATATTTGTGTTACTCGGAACTGGAAAACAGACGTGACCATGTCAAAAAAAGTATCCCTTTAAGATGGACGCAAACCCCAAGGAACCATTTTTCGCTATTCCCACAACGTAAAGCCTGAAGTTTGGTGCTTATACATCGTGGGGTTTAGATTTTGAATGATAAAGCAGTCGATTCCACAAATTTTTTTATGTGAGGCCTCAGTCTACGCGTTCGACCTGCTGAACTGTGGAAATATCCCACATCAAAGTCAACAACACCTCTTCCGCATGCTTTTTATGTGGGGTCATTTATTCACCTCAGGAAGAATGCAGTCGAATTTTGTGTCAGCGTAAGGAAGTCGAATAAGTTCTACAGTCTGATATAGTTGTCACATTAGGGATGTGTCGTAGACAATGCTGAGGTGTCAGTGTACGGAAAAAATGGAAAGGTCCGTCAACAGGGTGTGATGGAACGAAGGTGCAGGCCGCCGATCTGTTTCACTTATGTTGCCAATGCCTCGAACCCTAGGGTTCATAGCCCCAGCGAAGAAGTTTATCTGGTTGTTTAATGGGTTGAAATACCGTATCAACAATCTGGGATCCTTAATTTGTACTAGCTATTTCAGGAGTGTACACTGACAGCCTGGTGGAGCACAGGGGAGCGAAATGCGTTAGCTAATCCGCTCAGTATCATTTGAAAAAATATTTTTCAGCACTGCGCCAGAAGTCTATTTCATTGAAATATTTCGCGATTGAGAAGCCATTTTTAGCCACGCTTTGTTCCTTGATGGAAGAAACAGTTCGAAATCTCCGCAACGTGAGAGTTCGTATAGGCGGATTTAGCTAACAAGAAACCACTTGGGGAGGCCACAAGGTAACCCGAAAAACCTGCAAAGCTTCATACTAAAAAGGGAGCATCCAGCAAGGGAGTATATCCTATCACAGGTCCTCATGGTGGTGTACTAAGCAGTCTGAGGATAGCTGGGCTTCTGAGCTCACACTTCCAATCACAACTCAGTACGGACACTGAATCTGTGCAGGCTTGATTCGAAATCGGTTCGGCAGCGAATTGGGAATACGTCTGCCACATCCTTATAGTAAGGAAACAAGTACCGAAAAGCTACCCGGGCTCCGTTCGGGCAAGTCCGCTGGCTGCGACAAAACGGGGATGATAATCTCAAAAACCTGCTCCGTGGCACACGAAACCAATCTTCAACCTTTTCGAAGACTGGCTGTGGAAACGCAAACTCCAAAAAATAGGAAAGTGTGCGATCTTGTCAATAATCTTCAACGAAGAAGACAAAAAATTTCTGGCAGCTTCAGAACGATCCCCGTACCCTCAAAATTATTAGAAAGCCAGATAGCTGACGAGATCTGGGAATCCTTGAGCAAAATAAACACCATCCATATTGCTCAGTGTGGCTTTTGGAGTGTTAGTTCACGTACCACCAACTTGCTGACTACCTGGAACGACTGGATTTTGGCTCGGACAACAGAAACCAGTGGATATTACCTTTCTTGAACTAGCTAAAGCATTTGGCCGTGTTCCGCTGAGTCCTACTCCGCAGTATCATGTTGGCTGGTATAAGTGGAGCTCTACTCCAGTAGTTCAAAGAGTATGCAGAAGACAAGCAGTTCTACACCGAGGTAAAGAGAATACGGTTGAAGTGGAGACCATCGACACAAAGGGTGTCCAAAGTAGCAATCTTAGAACAAATTCCATTCTTCCTGCCAGTCTACTATCTGTCACATAAAACCTCCTCGGCCATCCTCCCATTCGGCGATTACACCTAGATTCGGAGGGTAGCAAACGAAGAAGCCGACCGCGCAGGACTCCAAAATGACCTGTGGCAAATCGAAACCTGGTGGTCGGAAAACAGCTTAAGCTTCAACCTGAAAGAATGCAAGGTGATGCATATTAGTACCTATGAAGCAAGGGCAACTGAATTCCAGTATAGATTCAGCAACCACGCTACCACCAATGTCTCCACAGAAAACGATTTTGGGGCTCAACGTCTCAGACACCCTGAACACCACTCCGACTACATAGAAATGGCAACCAGGGTGAATGGCACCTTCCACTTTCTGCGTAGACAGTCTAGTGCTCTGACCTTTGAAATATTTTTCAGTTTTTCAACCCTATTCGCGACCGCATCTAGGGTCTCCAGTACAGTGGCAGCCCTAAAACTCAAGAGGGACTCCAGTCTCCCCGAAAAAATGCAAAGATCTTCCACAAAATTAGTTGTAGGACTTAAAGGGAAGGCATCCTCAGAAACAATGAAGCACTATATACTGTCGCAGAAAGAGAGGTGACCTTATTATGTTCCGTAAGTTCATCCACCAAGCAAGTCATGCAAACAAACTAGCTTTGTCTGCTACATGGCAGTCATCATGAAGAGACCCCATCAGTATAGCACATCAGAGAGCTAAGAGAAGGTTCAGGTCTAACTTCTTCTTAAGAGTATATTTTTATGGAAGGGTTTGCCGCAGCCCCGTCGACAGAGTTATTCAAAAGATGGTTAGACAGTCACGTCATTTCATATATCTTACCACAGACATACCCAGGGATTAAGTGACCTCACTGGCCCACTATTTCTTCCCCTCTACTTACCACTCACTACCTTTCCTGCTGATGCACTAGGTTATTTAATCTTCTATAGCAACTAAACCCATGCTATCTACCCTCACGCTTTGGGTAATTCCTATGTGCCTTTTTTCACCATCTTGCTGTTCCCAATTACTTGCCTACACAGACAGGAGTCACGGTGGATCCCTAGTCTTTACTGCAACTCACGGCTCCCAAATCACTCTACAAATTGCAGTTACTAACCAGCAAAACCATTCGCCTCGTCAGGACTAAAAGCAGAAGAGAAGCGGAGATTTCAGTGCCCACTGCAGGAGCAAACCGGAAGCACGAAAAGAGTCCCGAGGTCGAAACTATCAGTTTTCGGTGATAGCAATAAGAATGTTAGATGGTGTTGGAAATACACGGTTACTCTAAAAGTCGAATGTCGGATTTGCAATTTTTTTGGGTAGAAAAAATGGTTAACACAAAGTTGTTCAATAGCTAGATAGTGATAATCCAATTTTTTGTGTGAAAGTTCATGTTTTCTTAGCATATGCTAATTTATTTTATTATCCCTTGAAAACCACAAGCGCAATCTTCAAATGGAGTATTCACATATTGCTTTCATACTCTTTTTTGTATATTGACGCACTCAGATATCAATTAATTGGTAAATAAAGTAAGGTTTTTTGCCTCTAATTGTCATGTCTATTGTGATCTTGACTGGGTTTCAAATATTTGCATTTATTACAGCCTTCCCACACCAACCACGATCAATTAAAATTTTATTTTTCTACTTGAAGGGAGATATTTTCTAAATCGCTTTGAGTAAAGTTTCACTGATGAACACTTGTTAGCATACTTAGGGGTACTTCTTACTATTTGGATTGGGGTTAACGATGTGCATAACAAAACCATGAAAAGAAGGTAAGATTTTTGATAGCTGTGAATTGATATTTCTGCTGACACTGAATTTACTCATGAGTTACGTTAACAACTCAAATGTTAGTCATCTACTTCAGACTTTGGTTTGTAGATCTAAAGACATCCTGAAATTTTCATATATGTAGGATGGCACTTTAATTTTCAGCAAAAAATTCAGTCTCAATTGCAATAATTATTGTCACCATGTAAACATTGATGTTTACATATGACTGTAAAAGCTTCGGTATTGCACTTTTTTATACGAATACTTCAATGCTTTGTAAACTGTTCATTTGGGTCAGTTATCAAACTGAATAATCATAACGAAATTCCTTTGGATTTGTTTCTGTATTCTTGTAACTGAATTGTTGGGGGTAATCTAGACGGACAGAAATTTCTGCATAGAATGAAACGGCAGATGTTAGGTCTAGATAATTCTCCATCTTTTGCAGTTCCATTTCACTGTTTACCATATCACTTTACATTTAGAATATACGTTATTCTATGTGTCGCTTAATTGGATTGTCTTGAGGTTTGATGGCTGTTAGATACTGAGGAATATGGGTCTAACTAACTTTCTGGGATTGTATCACAGCAGTAATTAACTTGTGTTTTGTTCAGACCATTTGACTACTAGTTGCTCCAGCGAAATGATATTTATGCAGTATGCAATTTTCGATGTTGCTGTGATCGATTACTGTATCATAACAGTGGACTTGCGTAGAAAAACAATGAAATATTGAAATGGGGAATTTTTTTCTGAATGTCTTTTTCCTATAAGCTAATTGGGACTTTCAGTTTGCTCTTAATGTAGTGTTATATGCACGAGTTTGGAAAGGTAACTTGTCAGTCCCTGGTACATTATTAGCCAGTTTCCTTTGTTTTTCTATAATGTTTAAAGACCTCCAAAGTGTGTGTATTGTGTACACCATACGACCTATAATAGTCCAGAAATGTAGTTACAAAAGACTTTTTACGTAATGCGTAAGTAGTTTCACCAACATTGAACTTAGTTCGTTTAATTTGACATCGCAAGTCTATGTACACTACTAGAGTTCTGTATTTGTTGTGGTAGCGATAATACTATCTGACTGACCAGAGTGAAGTGAGGGAGGAGGGATCGTGGTTGATAGTCAAACTGTGACACGATATGGTCATTTTCTGACAAAGACCGATTTGTATTCACACAAATGAAATTAGTCAACTGATTAAAATCAAAAGTAGGCAGGTTATATTATTTTTGAGTAGAACATCATTCCGACTATTATCTATAATGTTCGTAAACTTACAGTTACTATTGGAATAACTGTCATCACTTTGTTGAGGGGCTGAAGAATCGAACAGTATATTCTATCTAAACTTTGATAGGGCGTTACACGTTTGCACTCTACTATACTATTTCTTGAAGATTCATACACAGTTTATTCATTTAGTGCATATTACATTCATATTAATACGCTGTCTACTTATAGTTTCTCATGCGTAGAAGATGAAAACCAAATTTGGTATTTAACTGATCGGTTTTGTTGTTTTACTGAACCAAACCGTGAACTTCCAACAAAACGTATATTTCTTTACCTTATACCTGCATTTAATCGTCTTAGTTAGGTACTTTACTTGCCATGCTTTACATAAATACGAACAGAAAATTTCCTATGTTCCGATTAGTATTTTTTTGATTTGTCAACATTTTTTGTGAGATTTTGGAAGAATGAAAATAAACAATAATCGACAGAGTAGGTGAATTCTCTTCTTTTTCAGCTATGCACTGATATAAGTACGCATACCACCTTTAATTAACAAAGGAAGACTACATTTGGGGGCCTTTTCTCAGCCCAGCTCAGCAGGTAAAACGAACCTACTAGACATTAGATCATTGTATAGTTACTCATTCGATCACAGCGTGACATTATTTACAATTTGCTATCAAATTATCGACGAAGACTAACACCCTTATGAAAAGGTTGAACAGAGTCATTGGATTCTAAGAATTTCATCTGTATTTATAGATGCACGTAGAGGTATTGAAGTAGGGTCTGACCATGATAAAAACTAAAAGTAGGTTAAATAAAGAATGCTGGAGAGCTAACACGATTTTTTTTCGCAGCTTTGGATGGTGAAGGTTAAATAGGTGGAGAAGGAAGAGGCTATGCTCAGTCATAGGCATCTGTTTAAATCTAATAAAGCGACTGGGGTTAAAGTATCACTTTCTAGTTAAAATGAAGCTGCAAAGAACATATAAAAGGGTTTGGTGATGCAAGAGACCCTTGAAACTGTTAGCAGAGCGCTTTGAAAACAGTTCGAAAGACCTCTAGGTACTTTTAAGTTGCCCTTTACCCGGTTACAATTTAAGTAAGATATTTTCATAGGACTTTCGGTAGTTGATGGAATAACTTAAGACTACCTTAGGAGGTACGGGAATACCCTATTAGACTTCTTTATTTTGCTGATGAAGAGTAGTTTGTTCACAAAGTAAAAAAAATCTAATTATCTATTTTGGGAGTTTTTAGGGGGATTTTGAGGGGCATCCGTCTTATTCAAGTCAAGAATATTTTACGAAACCTGGGATCAGAGTGAGATAGCAATTAATCCCAATGGGCTTGGCGTTGTAGGATGATTATTTTAATGGGCTGGCATCCTCAGGTATTTCCCGACTCTCTTAATTTTTTCACTTTTATAGAGAAGAATGCCTTTTGTGGTAGTCAAAGGAATTAGCCTAAATTAAATGATATCTTGAGTTATGGACTACGTTATCACGGGATATCTATAAGGTGCTCTAAAACAGTAGAATTAAGTAAATCTGACGTGTTTCACATCTAGTAACGGTTTTCTTATCATTCAAAAATCTTGGACCACAGATCTATCACCATCTCAAGATAAGATGTTTTCCTGAACTTGAAGGTGGGAATTACGTTTGCTGACTTTTTTTCTGCAAAGTATATCAACTCACTTAAGGCTTTATTCTTAAGTATCTATGGTCATCTGAGAGCCTGAGTTGTCATGCTTTTGTCATTGATACTATAGTAACGTTTCTTAACTGTACACAAATGATCATCCAGGTTTCGGTATGAATGAAATAGGTAACTTGGATCTCTTTAAATTTGATGAGATGATGATATGTCGGCGCTTTATGACAAAGTTTTTGAAATTGTAGACTTAAACAGTAGTAAGTGAGCATCTGCTTGACCTTACGACCGTAAGGTGTCTAGTCATGCAAGCGTTTTAGTTTGTTGTGTCTAAAATTTTCTACTTATCTTTGTGAGAGCGAATCTTCTCAGTTATTGCAGATGGGGACATTCACCAACTTTTGGTAGTACAGATTTTGTCTAATTGTCACTTCACCCTTATGTTTCCCCAAATTTTAAGTTTAATTTAGGAGAATAAATTAAAGATTGAGACTGTTAATTGGTATTGGGGAACATTAATTCCTTAAAACCGATAGATATGTTGGTATTCAATACTTCAAGACCCTATGCTAAGTAATACGACAGATTGTTTTTCAGTAAAGAGCTCTGTTGCAATACACTCGTCAATATTTGGTGTAGATCGTTGCGGATTTCATCTGTACTGTAATTAATATATGCACTAACTACACTATTAAACGTACTTCTATTCAGGCAAAGGTGTTGGAGATTAGCGAATCAAAGAGGGAAAAAATTTATCAAAGTATAAAAGGGGTATATCGTGTTGAAATATGCAATAGTTCCATAGAAAATACAAAATGATAAGCAGTGTTATCTGATTGCAAAAAAATCTTTTCCGTATAATTAAATTTATCCGCTTATGTAACAAATTTATCTTTAATAATCAAATTATGCAAACTAATATGAATACTTTCATTACTGCTGTAAGGAGGGTTATAAAGATAATATATTTTCAGTTGATGTTCATCAGCCAGGTGGCCACTGAATTCCTTGGTTTTCAGTTTTCCAGTTATCTCGACTGTAATCTTAGGTAGCTGAAACAGAAATCGGTTGAGTATAGTCAGCGATCATTACAAATGTAAAGTGATTACCTTATAGTACACTCTGATTAGATGTTAGACCAATAGAAATGTAAACATCATTGAGAACAGAATGAGTTATAAGGAAATAGATAACGTGGCTGAAAATAAAAGCTTCATTTTGAAAAAAACTTAGACCAACCTTGTGTGCGTATGGGGACATTTTGAAAATATAATTGTTTTCATAAGTAACTTCGCACCTAAAGACGATGAAATATCGGAGTCAGATTATCTGATTTCACAGCAATAATGCTCTAGTTCTTTTATGTTTATGTGTAATGAAGTGTTGAGTGCATTTGTGGTAACAGGATATACTCTGGTATTATAGGAAATCCTCATCTTCATCTACTAAAGATTTAAGATAAAGTTCTAAGTCAAAATTTCGTTGACCTCTTTGTTTAGTGACTTGAAATAACTTTGTAAACGAACAATCGTTTCACAAAAGCTTCCTTATTTTCAAACCTTAGAACTTATTAAGTCTATTGAATAGTTTATGACTATAATGTCGATATGTAGACAAGTAGTTCTGGCATCAAGCGCTAGATATTTGATGTAGATTATCATTCAGTAAGGGGGTTCGCATAGGGACAAAAGCGTCTGTATCTTGAACAGATGTTGCGCTTATTGTCTCGGTGGCTTTCATAATGTTCATTATTCGCTAGTGGTTAGACTGAAGGAAAAAAGGGGAAAAATTATCATTGTATGACGTGGCACCATGAAACAAAGGATATCTTTCCTAATTTAGCGTTTTT